TATTTCCTTGTTCATGATAATTGTCTTTTATTCATGCTATAACTGTATTATCCGGAAATCGTAATACACGTGTGAATACATAGACCACAATATGTCCCTAGTGAGCCTCTAGTTGACTAGCTCGTTGTGATCAACAGATAGTCATGGTTTCCTGGCTATGGACATTAGATGTCGTTGATAACGGGATCACATCATTAGGAGAATGATGTGATGGACAAGACCCAATCCTAAGCCTAGCACAAAGATCGTGTAGTTCGTATGCTAAAGCTTTTCTAATGTCAAGTATCTTTTCCTTAGACCATGAGATTGTGCAACTCCCGGATACCGTAGGAATGCTTTGGGTGTACCAAACGTCACAACGTAACTGGGTGGCTATAAAGGTGCATTACAGGTATCTCCGAAAGTGTCTGTTGGGTTGGCACGAATCGAGACTGGGATTTGTCACTCCGTGTAAGCGGAGAGGTATCTCTGGGCCCACTCGGTAGGACATCATCATATGCGCAATGTGACCAAGGAGTTGATCACGGGATGATGTGTTACGAAACGAGTAAAGAGACTTGCCGGTAACGAGATTGAACAAGGTATAAGGATACCGACGATCGAATCTCGGGCAAGTATAATACCGCTAGACAAAGGGAATTGTATACGGGATTGATTAAGTCCTTGACATCGTGGTTCATCCGATGAGATCATCGTGGAACATGTGGGAGCCATCATGGGTATCCAGATCCCGCTGTTGGTTATTGACCGGAGAACATCTCGGTCATGTCTGCATGTCTCCCGAACCCGTAGGGTCTACACACTTAAGGTTTGATGACGCTAGGGTTATAAAGGAAGTTTGTATGTGGTTACCGAATGTTGTTCGGAGTCCCGGATGAGATCCCGGACGTCACGAGGAGTTCCGGAATGGTCCGGAGGTAAAGATTTATATATGGGAAGTCCTGTTTTGGTCACCGGAAAAGTTTCGGGTTTTATCGGTAACGTACCGGGACCACCGGGAGGGTCCCGGGGGTCCACCAAGTGGGGCCACCTACCCCAAAGAGCTGCATGGGCCATGTGTGGGAGGGAACCAGCCCCAGGTGGGCTGGTGCGCCCCCCACAAGGGGCCCAAGGCGCAGGGGAGAGTGGGAGGGGGCAAACCCTAGGGCAGATGGGCCCTAAGGCCCATGCTCCCTGCGCCTCCCTCTCCTCCCCCTCTTGGCTGCCACCCCCTTTGCCATCTAGGGCTGGCCGCACCCCTTGGGGGTGGGAAACCTTAGAAGGGGGCGCAGCCCCCTCTCCCCCTATATATATTGAGGCATTGGGCTGCCCAGAATACACGAGAATCTCTCCCTTCTCCTCTTGGTGCAGCCCTGCTTCTCCTCCTCCTCTCCCGTGGTGCTTGGCGAAGCCCTGCTGGATTGCCACGCTCCTCCATCACCACCACGCCGTTGTGCTGCTGCTGGATGGAGTCTTCCTCAACCTCTCCCTCTCTCCTTGCTGGATCAAGGCATGGGAGACGTCACCGGGCTGTACGTGTGTTGAACACGGAGGTGTCGTCCGTTCGGCACTTGGTCATCGGTGATTTGAATCACGACGAGTACGACTCCATCAACCCCGTTCACTTGAACGCTTCCGCTTAGCGATCTATAAGGGTATGTAGATGCACTCTCCTTCCCCTCGTTGCTGGTCTCTCCATAGATAGATCTTGGTGATACGTAGGAAATTTTTTGAATTTCTGCTACATTCCTCAACACAGATCCGGTGCGGGCAAGGCTCTGGTTGCCGATTGGGTGCCCGCGGCCGACAGATCCGTGGTTGCTGGTGGCCGTGGCAGATCCTTTGGGGCGGTGTAGCTGTGGGGGAGGGGTCTGGCGGCGGTGCGTGGGATTAGAAGGCGGAGCAGGGGGAGGCTGGTGGTGCGCGGGGTGGGGTGGGAGAAGGGCGGGTTCTGGTGGTGGTGGGGTGGGGCGCCGCGGTGGCCGCCGGCTCTGGGAGTGGTGGTGGGCGGCCGGGCTTTGGGTAGGTGGTGGTGGTGCGGGGCACCGATGGGTAAGGGGAGGGAGGTTGTGGCCCTCGGGCTCGTGGGGAGTGGTGGGTAGTGGTGCAGGCCAGTGGTCGTCGGAGAGTACAGATGTGTTATCAGAATAAGACGTTTCGGTGTGCAGAATAAGAGTCTTAAGGGTGTTATTAGAATAGACCCACCCTATATATATATATATATAGGGAAAATCCATCCTATCACCCGGTGGTAGTTACCCCATATGTCTCATATACTACCATGTGGTAATATATATACTACTTTATCATTTTAAATATATTCATATACTATATCTAAGATATTTCAAAGCAAGTTACATAAAAAAATTATATATGAACCCATAGTTTTTGTTATATTTGTGAAATACGTACATGTTTGTACGTAAAAAAGAGCATACTTAAAACATGGTATATACTACCTAAAAATTAGTATATATACTACCTAATCATTGTTATATACTACATACTACACATACATACTCTCAATTTTGATAGATACTACATACAACATACAAAACGCAAGTGGTGGTAACTACCACTGCTTGTAGGAAACATTTGTCCTATATATATATATATATATATATATATATATATCCCTACGAGGGTCAGATTAATAAAAACAATAGAAATAGTCATCCAACAATTTCCACAGCTCCCAACGCGTATGTGGTAGTGGGCCGGAAGCCCACAAAGCCCCTTTGATTTGCGGAAAAATGGACAACTGGACTGGTCGGCGGACAAATGGGGCGCCGTATTGGATGACAAACTGTGTCCGAATCGCTCGGGCCAGATGATTGCAGGCGGTTTTAGGGTTCGCGTTGGAGATGCCTTAAGCTTTGTTCGTGATGGAGTAGCCAGTTTGAAAACCGTCTTGCGTGTGAAGTCTATTAACTAGATGGGCATGTGTATAAATTGCACTTGACACCAACAAGATGGAGGAGAGATGAAACAACTTCAAGGCTAAGCTCTAATCTGAACTGGAGTTATCACACGTACTTGTTAAATGTCGTAAGACTCAGAACAAAGTGTGTTACAAATCAAGATTGATCTTATGAAGGAAACGTTGAAATAATGAGCTACAACTAGGTAGTACAATATTTCGTACTGCCCCTTTGGTTCACATGAAAAATGCAGGAATATGAAATTTCCCTATGATGATAGTGTTATTCACGCCTTTGGTTCAAAGAATTAATGGGGAAAAGGGAAAATAGAGGGAATTTTCCTATTCCTATAATGGTATTATTCATGCATTTGATTCAAATAACTGAGGCAAAGAAAATTCGAGGGAATTTTCCTTTGATCTCAATTTCAAAGGAAAAGACATGAATTCTCACATCAATTTGTTGCTCAACTTTAATTTCCTATGCATGAAGAATGAGATTAAGATCTTTAGTGGCATAATAAAATTCTAACAATATATTTTATGGGAGTTGACTTTATTTAAGCATTTGTATTGGCATTATTGTGTAGCAAACACCTAGATTGACATAACTTGTATGTTTACTAATCTTATGTTTTCCACATGCATTTTTTATTTTATCTATGTGTTGTTACTATTTCTGCGTTTTCAAAATCCTGCGAACCGAACATCCCTTATTTGTTGGAATTGTGAACCGAACATTGCTTGATGATGGACGTTAGGTGACTGGCGTCGGGCCATCAGCGGTTCAGTTGGTGGCTGGCATCGGCGAACAGCGTTGCAGCGGGAGAGAAGGAGGACGTCGTCTCAGCCTATGGAGAAGTGGAGTCGTGTGCGGGAGGCGTCGTCGTCGAGTCACGTCGGTTGTTGGGTAGGATGAGGACCAGCGTCGGTAGAGTCACCACTCACCAGCAGTCCAACACATCGGGTGAGATAGAGACGATGGCAAGCGACCTAGCGTCGTCGTGGTGCAGATGTGGACTGTCGGCGAACCGCGGTGTCGACATGGGGTGGGGTGGCGACGGTGGCGGGGCGTGCCGACGTGGGGTGGGGTGACGGCGGGGGCAGCTATGCTAGGGCAGGGAGGCGGCCATGTGCAGCGGGGGATTTGGGGTCACGCGAGTCCTCGAGGGGGGAGGGGGGCGTGGTTTTGTTTGGGAGGGTGGGGGAGGGGAATTTTGGGCTAGGCCTTCTCTCTCTGTGCGGGATATTTGCTGGGTTGGCAACTTATTTCGGGCTATTCGGGTACAATGGTCTTTTACTCGAATTAACTTCGGGCGATATGGTGTTCTGGTTATGCGGGTTTCGTTTTTTTGAGTATCGGGTTTTATGCGCGGCGTGAACCTAATCGGACGGCTGGCTGGGGCCCGACCGGCCCAAACTTGGGCCGGCCGGCCGGCCCCTAGTAGTGGCCTTTTTGAAACCGGGCATCGCACCATCCAGGCAGAACCTGAGCGAAACGCACTCACACCGTCACACCCCTCTCCGCCTCCGCCTCCGCCTCCGCCGCGCTAGGGTTTTGTCTCCACCTAACCACACTCACAGCCGCCTCCGCCGCATTTCGGCCGCGCTCTCGCCTCCTCGCCAAAATCGCCTCCCCGCATCACCTGTTCCTTCTTCCTCCCTCCTTCGCCCTCTCATCATCATGCTCTGCCTCGGGAGCGGCGGCGGAGACCGGAGCCAGGCGTACGGCGGCGGGCGGGGGGCGCCGACGGGAGGACGCCGAGGCGGGCGGAAGCGCACCGCCTTCGTGCGGCCGTCGGCATCACCGTGGCCTCACACGGGCGCGGACCAGCATGGGGTCGTCTTCCCCCGGCCCGCGCCGATTTGGCCGCCCCTGGCGTACCCCTGCGGGCCTGCATTCCCCGCGCCCTCACCGGCCCGCCCACCCCCCGCTTCCGCTCCACCAACTCCGGTGCCGTCGTCCGCGACTATCGGTAAGGACCTCGAGGAGAGACCGTTCCCCTTCGTCTTGCCTGCGGCGGAGAAGGCGCCCACGGTCGCGCCGGTTTCCAGGAAGCAGCTCGCCCGACCTGCCCGTCTCGGGGCCGGAACCGTCGCGATGATCCGCCCGAATCGCAGGCGCCGGGCGGGAGGGCGCGACGCGCCCACCGGCTTCCCTCCCGGGCCGTCGGCACCGCCATGGCCTCACGAGGGCGTGCACCAGCACGGCATCGTCTTACCCGGGACCGCCGCGACGATGCGCGCGAACCACCGGCGCCGGGCGAGAGGACGCGGAGGTGGCCGCGTGCCCACCGACTTCCTGTGGCCGCCTCCAGGCGAGTCGGCACCGCCGTGGACACACGAGGGCGCGTGCCAGCATGGTGTCGTCTTCACCGGGCCCGCGCTGACTCCGTCGGCCCGGGCGTACGCCTACGCGCCCTCTTCTACGCCCTCGCCAGCGGTCACGTCGTCGCAGGCGGGCCTGCCCGCGGCGGAGAAGACGCCCAAGGTTGACACCGCGCTGGTCTCCAAGAAGGGCCCTGCCCACCTCTCGCGTCCCGGGGCCAGGAACGTCGGCGCGAACCGCTTGCTCATCAACGTCGGCTACAACATTTTACCCTGCTATGTAAGCTACCTCCCGAAACCATCACACCCATTAATCTGTTATCACTGCATACTCTACTTGTATTGTTCAGGTCTGATGCTTCCTGGACCTGGAGAATTTCTTGCTATTAATTTCTGCCCTCTGCGCTCAATCATCTACTAGGACGACTGTGATACTGTTGTTTTAGCAATTTCTCCCGTTTTCCTTTCACTGCTTCGTTGTTACCATGCGATCTGTTGTTTTGTCAGCGCGTTAATTTTGGGGTCTTCGATGATGGATCTCTCTAGTTATCATGTACAGGGGAGTTTCGTTAGAGCGAAACAGAAAGCAGTAGACAATGGCATCATTTCGTTTTGGTTCGTGTGAATTAAGCGGTTTTGTTGCTGTTTGATTGGACAGTAGTGGTATTCGTCGGCCTACACACGATGTATTTTTTTTTTGTCGCAGCATTAATGTCATGCAATTTTATGGGGTGTCAAGTTTTGGAACTTGCTTGCTCCACAGCCTGGTGGCTACCAACTTAGGGAGGAGAGTAGCTTAGCTAGCTAGAAGCACATAAGTTTCCACGGCGTCACTGCTACGCTAGGAATTGGGAGCAACTGAGGTTTGTGATGCAGATTTTGAGCTATGAATTGGGTCAGCAGCTATGCTGCTGTCATCCTAACCGAGATTTAGAACAATGCTCAGCTTAGTTATCTTTGTACCTCCCACATTTCTTTGGAGAAGCTTGAGCTGTGATTTGGTCAATATCTGCTGCTCAAGTGCTAACCGGAAGAAATGGATGTGGGTCAATGATTTTAGATGTGCAATGGGTAGCAGCTTTGAGAACCTAGTCACAACTACCTACAGCAGGAAATAGTATGGTTTGATTATTAGAAAGTTGAGCCACACGTCGCAAAGTATATCTTCTCCATCATGGTTCTTGTTAGCATTTCAAATACTGTACTTGCAGAACTTACATCTCAATATTGCGTGAATAGACTGATCTAAAGCAATGCATTCAATCAAAAACATTTTCAGGCCCCATGGACCAAGATCACTCAAGCAGATGTCAGGAAATATATGATTGTGTTTATTAAGGTCGACAGAGATGGAGATGAGAAGATTACTCGTGAAGAGGCAAGGAATTTGTTTTTAAGTTGGCGGTTGCCAAGAGGTAGTGATTCTCTCTTCCATGTATACTTACCATATTTCCTTCCAGATACTGTGAATGATGGCCTGCGTGCTCTTTTTGTGTGCCTGTGAATTTGGTACATTGCAGTAATTTAAGCAAATAACTAGGTGGTAGTTATATGCAGGGTGCAACATGCAAAAAAGTAAATCTGTTTATGTAAGTTCAAGTTCAAATTTTAGTTCGAAAAGGCATCCTGCTTTTGCAGTTATTGCGCTTTACTTTTTTTGGCCATGAAAATTGCCTTTTAGATGACTAGTTATTTTGTTACATTTTTCATTAGTTTGTCTGCATTCCAAATTCAGTGGCTGCTGGTGCCATGCTACTGGGGGTCATGTTACTGCTCGTTATCATTAGACCTCTTTTTGCATGTACCTATACCTACAAATATGCATTTATTTTGTTAACTTGCTCAGTTATTTTATTTTGCTAGATGCAATTTGAATTGACATATTTGATCATGTTTTATCCCGTCATCAGTATCCTATTGTTTCTCGATAGTCAAAGATGCGTTCTTATGTTTGCCTGCGATTGTATTATTGGAGTTTAGTGCCTCAGAGGGCTACCACAATCTTGTACTCCCTCCGTCCCAAAATAAGTGACTCAACTTTGTACTAGAGCTAGTATATACAAAGTTGAGTCACTTATTTTGGGACGGAGGGAGTATATTGTTAGTTATTTCTATTTGCTACGTTTGGTACGGTTGATGAACAAACTGCATCAGATAAATACTGTCTGTGTTTGTTAGCTTGTTTTCCCACTGAAATTTACCTCTGATGCCCAATTCTCTCTGGACAGTGGTTCTTTTTGTTCCCTGCCAATAAGTTTCTAAAATTCTGCCCCTCTCCACTTGTAGATATCTTAAGGAAGGTGTGGGATTTATCCGACCAGGATAAGGATGGGATGCTGTCCTTCAAGGAATTTTGTTTTGCTGTGTACTTAATGGAGAGGTTCCGAGAGCAGCGACCACTTCCTGATGTATTACCAGATGGTATTTGGGCGGAGGGAATTTCACTACCCTCTACTGGCCAGTTTGCAGAAAACCCTAGTGGCCTGGCTCCCCATCCAAGTGCTGGTACTTATCTAAGGAAGCTGTTCTGTTCATTCTTTTGAGCACTAATAATGAGAAAACCCCTTGTCACTGATCTGGTTTTGTTGCATACTTGCTGTAGGGGTTACAAGTAGAGCAATGCAAGGACCACATCCTGAAATGCCTCCTTCATCTGTGAAGCGACAACATCGAAGGCCTCTTCATTTTGATGATGACACTACGCAAACTGAACCACAAAAACCTAAGGTCCCAGCATTGGAGAAACATTTGGTTGTCCAGCTTAGCAAAGAGGAACCAAATGCACTTGAAGCGAAGTTCAAGGAAGCTTCAGATGCCGATAAAAAGGTATTTACTCATCATGCTTAATTAATGAAAATATTTTTGGAGTTTTCACATTTAAAATACTAGAAAAACAAAAGTAAATCCAAATTTGTTCTGATTTGGCTCTCAGCAACTTGGTTCTTGTTCAATATTTTCCATTCCATAGTTCACGAGAAATTAAACTTCTGTAGAATAGGGAGCATCTTTTTTCTCGAACAGCTCAAGCATCACATACTTTTTGAATCTTATCATGGTAGTCTATGTTTTTAAGGCGACGCCTTACCGCCTTAGGGAGGGGGGGAGGGGGGGGCGCTTTGACGCCTAGGCGGGCGCTTTGGATGCCTAGGCGCCCAAAGCGGAGGGGGAGCGCTTCGACGCCTAGGCGTCGCCTTAGGGACGCTTTAAAAACATAGATGGTAGTACAGGTAATAACTAATATGTTAAACCAGAATATATATATGAACACTATAGTAATTAAATCATGCTCGGGTAAGTGTTTCACAGGTTTGAATTCATATTCTCATAGAATCATGGAAATGGTGATGCCATTAGATTTCTAGCTAAATTATCGTGGGGCAAAAATGCAATGTGGATTTGCAACATCATACATGCTTTTTGGCTGTCCTGATGTGTAGCATGAACATGTTTTAAATCTTTATCAAGGTTCATTGGCAAAGGAAATACTGGATTCCAGGGATAAGACTGATTACCATCGCACCAAGATGCAGGAGCTGCTATGTACTCTATAGCAATATGCCATTATGCCTTGCTATGTAAATGCAAACATATATTCTGAGTGCAAGAATTAGGTCCATCTATATTGAGAAGCATAACTATTTGTATGTTTAGGAATCTTAGCGAGGTCTTTGTTGATTCAATTCTACTTGCATTTCTCATCCTACTCGTTTAGCTGTTGGTACAACATTTCCATTAAATGATGTGATGTTTTACAACTATAAGCTGCAGCGTACTGTTCTATACCAATTGGACATATTCATCTCTATCACTTAGCTACAATACTTGACACCTAATATCAGCTATTCAGATTTGCAAATTGTATGTGTTCATGTGATCATGTCTGACTTGATTTCTTTATTTTGCCCTAGATTCTCTACAAGAGTAGGTGTGACAACAGGTTTAACGAAGTCTCAGAAAGTATGTCTGCTGATAAGTGTAAGGTAATGTTTTCTGTAATCTTGATTAAGAAAATGAGCTATGATATTCATTCTTCTGCCCTTTCGGGTAATTTCTGAAAGTGTGTACTGAAGCAAAAAGATAACTACAATGTTGTACTGTACTTCTGTACTGTTGTATATTGTGATGCATTGACTGAATTCTTTGGAACGTTACTTCAACATGCACTTCTCTACGCTTTTGAATGGATCTGTGAAATGCTTTGAGTAGCTAGGTTTGTTTCACTTTGCTATGCTTCTGAATGCATTATGGTGCAAATGCAGTGAATCGAAGTATTTGAGTATGTTTGTTTAACATAGCTGTACAATTCAGAGGGCCAATTGTCTTTAATCTGTGTACTAAATTTAGAACAACTTGTCACTTTTGTTTTCATACATAAGGATGTTGAAATGTGTTGATTGCACTGAAATGTTATTTATCTTTGCTTTGGCTGTAGGTTTCTACTAACACAGCGTCAAAATCAAGGCCTGTAGACATGCAAGAGGTTCAGTCAATTACCAACAACCATTGCTACACGTAATCCTCTCTCTCTCTCTCTCTCTCTCTCTCTCTCTGAGTGTGTATATGTTCTTTATTGTGTCATAATTCTTAACATGGTTTAACTCTAATTCATATCTTAACTCCTACAATTCCCAACAGCAGCCAGCCTGTTAGAGAGGTGACAATATCGTCATCATCATCCTCTAACAGGATGATTGGGATCTCAAAAATTCAGGTCAGTGTTGATTTACCTTTTCTGTTTGGGTTGCATATTTTGATTACAAGTACTTCACTCATATTACTATCAGTTAAATTATAGGTTATTTTCCGCATTGGAAATTTCCGCTCGTTCCCGATGCAATTTGAAGACAACTGTACAATTGAACAGATCGTGTATGCGGCTTTTCAAAAACAGAACGTCAAAATATCTGATGCAGTTATCCGATTCAATAATCGCAATGCATACCTTGAAGATAAACTGTGTTTTCTGAACCGGAACATCGGTCCTCGGCTGCGAGGTGGTCAACCACCTTCAAGGTACTATACAAATTCTTAACTTGTTTACTTCAATTACATAGATTTTATTTTAGTACTGCAGCTCTAAATGATAATGTGGGATATTAAGGATACAAATTCTTGACTTTGTTTACTTAAGTTCCATAGATCTTATATTGGTACTGAAAGATATGAAGCGTTCCTACTCCATCGAGGGAGCCGCGTGGTAGTTTATATTGATGCGTGGCCGAAGCCTGGCTTGACGTACAAGGTTATGACAGAAAGAGTTTGGGTAGAATACAAGAGAAGGAAGGAGGTTGAGATTACAACTCTATATTCTAACACCCTCCCTTAATCTCAACTAACCTAAGTTAAGATTACTCTTGAATTCTTCAAATGGTCTTGCTGGTAGTGCTTTTGTAAAACCGTCAGCCACTTGATCCTTAGAAGGAATAAATCGAATCTCAAGTTTCCTTGCCGCAACCCTTTCTCGTACAAAGTGAAAATCAATTTCTATGTGCTTTGTCCTGGCATGGAACACTGGATTTGCAGACAGATATGTTGCTCCCAAATTATCACACCATAAACATGAGATCCGATTTTTCTTGATTCCCAATTCCTCAAGAAGTGATTCAACCCAAATGATCTCAGCAGTTGCATTAGCCAAAGACTTGTATTCAGCTTCTGTACTTGAGCGTGACACAGTAGCTTGCTTTCTAGCACTCCAGGAGATAAGATTAGATCCAAAGAACACTGCAAAACCTCCAGTTGATCTTCTGTCATCACTACATCCTGCCCAGTCAGCATCAGAGAATGCACTCACAAGAGAAGAATTAGACCGTTTGAAATGAAGTCCTATTCCCATAGTATGTTTCACATATCTCACAATCCTCTTGACAGCTGACCAATGTGCAGAAGTAGGTGCATGAAGATATTGACAAACCTTGTTGACAGCAAATGAGATATCTGGACGTGTGAGAGTTAAATATTGTAGTGCTCCACAGTACTCCTATACCTTGTACTCTCCTCCTCTTGAAGTGGCTCACCCTCATATGCTGAGAGACTTTCTGAGGAGGATAAAGGTGTAGGCATTGGCTTGCAATTTTTCATCCCCATGCGAGACAGAAGCTCAAGAATATATTTTTCCTGATTTAACACAATACCATCTTGAGTTTTCTTGACTTCAATACCCAAGAAGAAATGCAAATCACCTAGGTCCTTCAAGGCAAACTCTGAGCTCAAATCATGCAAAAGAGCATTAGTAGCATTTTGTGAAGAACTTGCAACTATGATATCATCAACATATATAAGCACAAAAATGACTACTCCTGCCTTGTTATAAATAAACAAGGATGTGTCAGCCTTGGAAGCAACAAAGTCAAGATATTTTAACTGTGAGCTCAATCTGGAATACCATGCTCTGGGTGCTTGCTTTAGACCATAG